CCTCCTCCTTCTCTCTCTCCTTTCCCGTCTTTCCCATGCGCCTGAGTCTGACTCACATCACACTATCCTTCCTCCGCTCTTCTCTACCGCGCTGTCTTCCTGCCTCGTTTCTGGGTGGAAGTCTGGGACTTCTTTATAGTTTCTCTTCCCCTTCCAGCTCTTTCTGGATCTTTCCCCAGTCTCTTTGTCTCTGCTTGAAGACATCTCCTTCTCCCCTTCCGGTTTCACAGTCTCACCTTTTTGTCTGTGAGCAAGCCTGGATCGCTCCGACATCGGTGTTCTTCTGAATAGCTGTTAGAGAAGGCAGGAGAAATGATAAGCAGAAGATTGAAACAGCAATACTGTCATTCAACAACCCGGGCCACCAACAACTGCTCTGCTGCTGCGTGTGGCAGGCAGTACCGCAGCATCACGGTAAAACCACCAAGACCTCAGGGAAAGTTTCATCCCAACAGGCCCATAAGCTGCTAAACTCATGAGCCTCTGTGAACGGTGCCTTCATACCTTGAAGCATCATTCAGTTCTGCATTTCACTAATAAAAGTACTTGCTACAATAACAGTATTGATATATTCCGTTCTTAAGCTAAATCTTAGTCTAATTTACATGTATATAGTCTACTTCTCCTGCATTACTTGCACACTGGTCACCTGCACTTTTTTTATTTTAATTTCTATTATGTTTCTTTTTAACCGCCGCGCGGGCGGTTTTTTTGTTATGTATTCCTGTGGGTTATATAAGTATGGTTAGGGTTAACGACTGGAACGTGAAGCTTCATTGCTTAAACTACCCTGATAGCTACTGTGCCATATGAAATAAAACCTTTATCATGAGATCAACATGACCAAGTCGTATCTACATGCGAAATACTGGAGTGTTATTATTTCATTGCCACATAATCACTGATGTATTAACCCTATCTCCAGTTATGTGATTTGAGAAATTTGTTTGCCACGTAACTTACGTATGATTGCGCAACATGGAGTCACAGCAGCGAGCACACTGAGGCTGCGGCCGTCAGCTCCTCCCCCTGCACACACAAACATCCAGTGCACATGCAAACACACATCAATCTACCACTGAATTCACACCCAATATATTGACACTGATTTATAGCGGATGTAAGTGATTGCTCCTGATTTAACTGCGCTACCTTGAAGTGGTTTATGTTAATAGCGTTGCTTACTGCCAGCAGCCTGGTCGTAGCGCAGGACTTTGAGGAGTAGGAAGTGGTGAGACCCGACTGCACATTGAACAGTGGAGGTACAGCACCTACAATCAGACCACACAGCAGTATTATAAGTCGCTGCTGAGGTTATAGATCCACTAGTTTGTTTAACATGTCATTAAGGTATGGTCTGCGCAGCTTGCAGGATCCTTCCAGCACTTCTTCAATAGTCGTATCTTAGTCTTCAGTCTTTAGCGAATTCTGGAGAAGGATGCTCTAATGCAGCCTTTCCCAAGACTCAGGGTCACGACCGCCAAAATGGTCGACGCAGTTAAATGCATTTGCTACACACACGCAAGCGTCAGAGAAGGGCTTGAATGGCTGCGTTGCAAATACACATTTTTTAATAATGGTTTGGTATTTTATTTTTTATTTTGAAAAATGAAATTAATGCAATGATAGCATTGTATATTGAATGATTTAATTGTTCTAAATAGCAATAAACTAAATAAAGATTGTATTTGTAGTCACTCTGACCGCTCCCCCGCGAAAGTTTTTCGCGCTGTCTGTTTATTGTCTGTTGATTAATCCCGATCGTACATGATGGCAAAAAGACGGATACAAAGAGGAGTTTTTAAACGTTGGCTTCAAACAAAAGCTGTTAGAAAATGGAGGGAGCGGCCTAGGTGTTTTATGTGGAGAGGTTGCTCAGTAACGAAAGCTTGAAAATGAATAAAGTTGGACCTGCATCGTCCAAACAAAACATCTCTGCATCGGGACAAATGCGAAGGATCTTTTTTTATCTGCAAAGAAGAGTCTTTAAAGAAGCAGTGTTTTGACGGCGGAAAAGTAAGTCACATAATTCTTAATGCATGTTGTTTTGTGTTTTTGTGAGTTTGTCGGGTCTGTTGTGAAAATTGGTTCGGTTAATGCAAAGTTTGGATGAAATGCAGACCTGAAGCCCGGAGCGTACCCGCCAGCTGCAACGCTCCGGCGCGAGTCATACTTCTGCAGGGCAGAGAGGCGGTGTTTCCGAACAAAACCACAGGAAGATTAGACTCCGCCACAGGTAGTATGAGAAGGGACAGGGAGATATAATCAGCCGCACGGACGTTGACCTGCTGCAGTGTGATGCACATAGGAATCATATGGAGAAGAGAGGTTATTCCCTATCTTTATTCAAGAGCGAGGTCTATTTGAGAACACATTCTAAACTGAGGTACAAAGAATATACAGATAATTGAGGTATTATTTCCCTCAACCACATAACACCTACATTTATCCAGACATAAAACGTCGCTTAGCATTTGCTCTGCTTCGTGCTCAAACTGTAACGCTTGCACTCAGTATATGTGCTGCGTTTACAGGTTTCGCTCTGTTCCAGTTTAAAAACCTTTCTCCTTGCCATCAGGCTGGTTTCTGTGCGCTCGGTGAATGTCTGGCTCTAGAATTTCTTCTGTGCGCGACATAAGAGGGGTCCTTTTGTGAAAACACAACAAGTCAAAATCCTCTGTGGGGATTCCCCCACAGTGATTGAGTATGTATGTTCGCTTTGGAGTAAAAGCGTCTAACAAGACATGTAATTAATCGCATAAATAAATGCGTTGCCGGATCCACAATATTGGATACACGTAGCGGCATGAGTTTATACACCCATACCAGCATTAATAAAGATATATCCTTCTCTGTTATTTCAGGCATTCAAAGGGAACAGAACGGGGCATCCCCCGTCCAGCCTCCACAAAAAAAAGTTAAATCAGTTGCCAAGTGTTGGAGTTTCTTTGTCTCTTAGGAGTTATTTTAAAACAGCTCTCGTTCATTTAAAAGAAAGTGTTTAAAAGAAAGTGGATGATAAACATATAGTTTTATGAATCTAGAACAAAATATAGACACATAACATTTTTTTGGGTTCACCGCACATGAGAATTACTGAAAACTTGACTCGGCACTGTCAGTCTCAGTGTCTTTGTCCCTTTCTGTGTTCAACCGCTCCACCGTTATTTGTTCAAAATAAAAGAAGAGAACAATAGTTTTTGAGCTAGCGACAAACTTAATATTGCACTTTGATCGTCACTAATATAAGATAAAATATAGTGTATATACTGACCTGCACGTCCATGGTTCGTCTTTCTGCTTGATCTTATTTTTTTCTGTGCAAGCTCCAAAGGGTGCATTTTATAATTAAATAAATATTTTCAATTATAATATATAAAACATAAAAAGGAAAGAGATATAAACCTATTGTTAATAAACGTAACTAAAAAGAAGAGAGATATTGAAATTTTTGAGCTTGGGGTTCCCTTAGGACCACAACATTTCTGTTTTGGGTCTCCATGCTGAAAAAGTTTGGAACCCCTGCTTCTAATGTAATAGTAAAATGCAGTGGCGACCGTGTCTCTCACAACTGGAACACAAATTCTGTAGACACACACACACCCCCGCGGCATGGATAATGTCGGTCTTTTCCCTGAAGTGTCGTCTTGAAAAGGGTACTGCGGCAACATATTCCGCAAAAACCTTAATCTTCGCCTGTTTGCACTTGTCCATTTCGAAACGTTAAAAGCAATAAAAACGGGCCATGAATTGCTTCGTCGCGAATTCATCTAGATCAGGGATGGGGCCACTTTGAGGAATGAGTGAGAGAGAAGACACCACATAATTGATGTACTCGGCCACCCAGGGGGCCGCAGATTCACTTGGAACACACACACAGAAAAGTTCTCATGAGTTGTATGTAATCTATTAACAAATATACCTCAACGAGTCTGACATCTATTCATGTGACATTCTTACAATCAAGGGACCATCCCCATAAAATGGGACATCCTCTAATAAGCTCCCTACCCACAAATATCGGTTCACAGACATGTATTCATTTTTACAAGTGCATGTCATGTACATGTAATAGGTTAACTTAAACAGTGGAATAACCACGATTTTAAACTATTGGAAAGCACCGGAAAATGTGTGTGTATTGAGATTAACCCATTAAGATGACCTAAAACATGAAGTTCCATGAACACTAACCCAGTATATTTAAGTTGTCTACTTGCACCTAAACACTTGTAGCCAGTCTCTGCCTTCCCCTCAATTCCACATAAGGGGAGTGTCACACGGCACCTTGCACTCTGCTGTTTCCAGACTCAGCACCACTCCCCTCCCTCCCGCTGAAATTATGAAATGAAAAGCGTAGTAATCCTAGATAACACGGCAGGGTCCGTGACAGTTTGTTTTCATCCTGATTTCAAATAAACAAAGTCTTTGGTTTTTAAGAATATTAAACTTGTTTCGCCAATTCAGATGATAAATACAACTTTTTAAGCTTGTAATAGGCAATAATTACACAGAGGCAACTTAACGGTCACAGCAGCGCGCATAAACAAGACAGCAGTGTTTTCTTGTGACGGGTTTCTCCGGGGAAACAAACACAATACTACCAAATCCGCGTCACAGATTATTTGCGGGTATTTTGAAATCATGTACGCAGCTCGCGACCGTTAACTACAGGAGTCTAGTGTGGACGGTATCGTTCTACAAGTTAAAAAAAGAAAGATATATTTTTTTTTAATATTTTTTTTTTTATTATTACGGTTATTTATAATTATTCTGAGGGCCGCAAAAGAGGAGGTGGGGGCCACATTTTGCCCAACCTAATCTAGATCCTCTGTTCGAGCCAGTTAACTAGCGGGAGTTAACTAGCGGGCCTTCTAGAGTACCCTGGAACCGAGGGAAACTCTGAAAGAATATGCCCATTGGCTACAAATCAATATATGATTGGTTGATCAAACTGTCAGTCCAAACGTACACTCTCATTCAGTCCAACGGCCAGGGCATTCTATTAAGGATATAGAATACCTTGGTTGAAGGATATTCTACCCAGAGACCCAGAACAAGATCTGATTGGTTGCTTTCTTTTCTAACACAAAACCACTGAAATGCGTAGTGCATTGTCCAAGAAGGACAAACAAATCAACGTAACACTGTAATATTACAGATCAACAACACCAATACGATTCTCATTTATTCATATAATTAAATCGATTTTTTGTTTGTTTTATCTGAGTGTTCCAGGGTATTCTCTGAATACCTTGAAGGCCCTGACGGTTCGCCACTGGTAAAATGACATAATCATTGTTCATCTGTAAAATAACTCGAGTCATTGTGACCTTTATGCACATTATTTGAGAAGGTTCAGACTATAAAATAAAGATTATTACACCGATACAAGTTAAAGCGGTGAGATACATCGGTCCGATACATTCAGTACTGTATGAGTAATCTCTCGGAGCCACGTAAAGGAAGTTCACATCAACATCCTACAGACTTGGTCTTGGAGTCTGTGCCTACTCACCGTAGGCCCATGATCACACTCTTAGAAAGTGGGCTACACGGAAATAGCGATATTAAAAATTTCGATGACGCAAAACTATTCTTGGTGCTCATTAGACAGTAGATATGGGAAGGTGAAGATAAGTGCCCTGACCAAAGACAAAAGTGGACAGACTGAAGGAAGCATGAGACAGTGCATTACACATGGAGATACTTCATTGCTGTAAAATAAGCTCCTAAAGCAGGAACTGATTGTATCATTCAGCACACAAAGAATGTATCAGCATAAGTGGGTTCTAAAGCAGGCTCCATCAACCAGCTCCACCCATCATTTCACATGCTTTGACAATATGTACAATATTTTACACTAAATTCACGGTATAGTAGTCGTTTCCAATAACCATTTTACAGGGCCCCAAATGTTTTGGGTGTAGACTTGATTAAAAAAAAATATATATTATTCTGTAAAGGTCAACCAACTAAGTGTGTAGATGGGGGGGATGTTTTACATATTACAGTTAACCAGAAAAAGTGCATGTTATTCACTGGATGAACGGTAACCATTTTTTTGAGAGTAGAAAAACTATTTTCATATTTCAATAAATAAATGTTAACCTTAAAAAGTATACTATCCTATACTCAGCAAAACACTTAAATTGGTCTTACCTGTGAGAGTTCTCTGAAGAGAAATGCATCCACAGAGAACTTCAGCACACTGCCCCCTCCCAGCAGGAAGCGGGAGCTGCTGCCCACCCTCCTGCTGTCTGGCATGCAGCTGCATCAAAAATGAAAGCACAAATCAATCAGGACATGTAGAGTGACAAACAATGACTGTAAACTACCTGTGTCCTTACTAGAGACTCACCCATAGTTAGTAATGATCTCCGCTCTGTGCACACTGTGTGGGTCGCTGGAGCTTGTGGCATAGCAAGAGTCCACATAAAGCCTCTCCCCAGCAAACAGAGCTGCTACCTGGGCAACAAAATAAACCGGCTCCCCTAAAAAGAACCAATGGCCTGATGGGACGGGCTCTCCCTGGGCTGTTAAAACACACACATGCAGACAAGACCAATATGCCGATTAATATCAGAATGACAGGGTTCAGTGTAGACTTTGAGCACTTGATGTCAACTGTTGAATTCAGATATTTACAGCAGACATGTCATATTGTGCAAATAATAGCAAACACCTTTTATTCTGTAGGTGTCTTACCATTGCAGACAGTGAGGCTGTAGCTGAGTTTACTCCTGATGCTCTTCATTAAGGTTGTGTGTTGAACTTGAGGTCTGAAGCCAACTTGGTAGGAGTAATGGAACCTGAGACAGACAAAGAGGATTTTAATATGAGATATATTCCACCAGATCACGGCAGAGGCTGATAAAAAGTCACATTACATGCCAAGATACTGCAAGAAGGTTAAACCAACACTTTCCACCAATGTCTATGTAAAATATGCACATAATAATAATAATAATAATAATAATAATAATAATGGGGATTGGTGGTGAAGGTGAGGCCCCCGAGGGACACAGCAGAACAGACAGCTCAACCTGGGACAGCACCCACCTGTCGCCAAAACTGCCACATCCCTCATAATCCATAACTTTAATCATCAATACGAATAAAATCTGATGAGTGATATCCAAATTGACACCCGTACAGTTGTCACAAAGGGGGAAATCATCTAGAGATCTAACTGTTTTTCCAGAAGACTAATATGCACTGCACACAATGGTGTTTCTCATGCAGTGGCTCAGCAGCCTTAACTTCATTCACTAAGCATAAATGAAGATGCTGGCCCTTTCCACACATCAGACACAAACTGTAACAGAGATAAAATATTCATCAAGCCTATACAGAAGAAAATTAGTGACACTACCACAGATTGCTTCACAAACTTAGTTAGTAGTGCTAAATGATTTATATTGCAATGACTTTTGTATAGGTACCAGGCACATGTACCAAGCACACACCAAAGAGTAGATGATCAGATCCTGGTCCTTCCAGTTCTTTTCCAGATATTATTTTCCAACAAGTCAGTTTAAGTCTGCTCCATTCAACAACCACTTAATGTTTAAATTAGGAGCTTTATGCATCAAACATGTTATTCTGTTTGCAAGTCCAATAAAAGAGGTGTAGAAACCTCCTCATCTCCTAAGACACATGAGCCTTGATGATTTTCTTGGTCAGAGTGGTGACAGGATAAAACATGCTTCTTTAAATGCTGTGGAAGGTCCTGAAGTTACCTGTTGTAATTGCAATAGATAGGGAAGTTAAGTGGTACGACTCTGATGACGTAGCCTTGCTGAGGTGGAGTATAGCACAGCACATAGCTGTACACCAGCTGGCCGCCAACAACCTGGGAGACAGTAATAAGACATTTTCAATAGGAATGAATTCCATCTACATTTAAAGCTATTTTAATCCATCTACACCATATTTAATTCTGGATTCTTAAGGCCTAATGTTATTTAAAAATGCAACAGCCTCAATCGTTGATGATTGAACAAGCTTATGAACATTTTGCAGCTGAGCTTCACCATGTTAAAACCAACGCTGTTGTACGAGAATTGATTGTTTAAACAGCAGGACCACTTTATAATTATAAAAATTAAGCATCTACTTTATTTTAGAAGCTGATGATTTGAATTAAAGCCGTGATTAAAACATGTTATTTAAGTAAAAGTATAGTGTAATAAACAAAAGGCAGTTAAAGTATCATATAAAAAAGGACCCCAATATAAAATAAAAGCTTGGCATCAAATAAAAAACAAACAATAAATCAATATTTATAAATGCCGACATATTCTCGCAATCTCTCAAAAAGCTGTTTATGTAAAAAATGTTCAAGATTATATTTTTATGCAATGAAGTACATTTCTAAAGTAACCAAAGCTGTAAAATAAATGTAGTGAAGTAAAAAGTACAATATTTTCCTTTAATTTGCAGTGGAGTAGAAGTATAAAGTGGCTATAAAGAAAATACTCAGACACAGTACAGTCTACCTGCATTTAAGTACAGCACTGTAAATGTACATTGTACCATTACTTGTACCGTGGTAATGTTGCAATACTATTATGATACTGTTACAGTAATGCTTCTTTCTTGAAAACGTGTTGTTGCTGTGATGTTATGGTAATGTTTCATTCATGAAAAGTTGATGTTGCTGTAATGTTATGGTATTGTTGCTGTAATTAAATGTTGAGGTTATGTTGCTGTAATGTTTAATTAATTCTGTTATACTGTTGCAATGTTATGATACTGTTGTGGTGTTGCAGCAATGTTATAATATTGGTAATGTTATGATAATGTTTCACTAACATTGAGAATATGTTGTTAATGTTATTATAATGTTTCAATAATGTTACTGTAAATGTGTCACTAATGTTGAGGTAATGTTTCAATAATATTGCTGTATTGTTTCACGAAGTAATGATGCTGTCAGGTGTTCCCACCTGAGGCTGTCCGCCGCAGTCGGTCAGTCTGTGGTGGAAGTACAGAAAGCGGGGGCTGACCCTGCTGACCGGGCACGAGCCGAGTCGAAACAGCGATGGATCGGTCCACGTGCGCAGGTGGAGGCGGTCGACGCGCACAGAGATATCATCGAACCCGCACCAGACGTGCACAGCGCGTGACCCCGTCCCCGAGACGCTGTGCTGTGTTCTCGCTTGCGGGAACAGTATAGAATTCAGTCCGGTGGGCAGCGGGCTCTTCTGAAGGACCGGACGAAATAGCTCCGGGGATACAAGTGGCCCCCGTGCATGCTGGAACATGGGCAGGTGGTAGAACGAAGGGTTCGTGGCTTCATACCGTGGTGTCTCTACCGGATTTAGGCCTGCACCTTCCGACCATGTCGCGTGCTGAACCGGACCTCCTAGAGTACCACGAAACATAATCCAAAGAAGCCACGCGATCACCGACATGATGCGGGAGACAGGAGCTCGTGCTGGAGTGCTGCGACGGGAGAGCGAAGTAGTCTGATCTCACTCTGAACTCACCTTCATTATCTCACCTTCATTATCACACCTGCTGCTGCACCTGCTGCTGATTGGATCACACGCAGCATGGGCTACAATCACAAACAATGTTATATGGTCTGCGATCTGCCCTTGTGCCCTCCTCGGGCATTTTTGTAAATTTTTCCGGATTTTTTTAACTTTATTTGGTGATCATTTGAGCTGTGTTACAGCTTTTGGCATGGATTTTTGCACGAAGTCTTCTTTTGAGTCACATTTTTTAAATCCAATGACGTTTACTCTCGTGATGCATTTCCTATGGACAAAATGTACATGCCCAAAAAAACTGCTATTAAATCATCATACATCAATATTTCTGCGTGCTCAAAACTACCAAACATCCAATAATTGTCAGGATTTTAACCCTTTAAATGCCTGTTTCATTATTTTAATTATTTCACTTCTCTCAAAAATGCCTCATTGACTTCCATTCAAACCACATGTTTTGATCTCAATGCTATTGCAGTATAAAACCATGCATTTTGTAATGTCAGCATTTCATTTAGAAGAAAAGTAGTGATATTTGATATTTCTAATCTATTCCAACAGATTAAACAATTTTCCCACTGTAGGCCGATGCATGAAATTCTTACATTTTTGCCAGTTATATTATGGAGAGAGAGAGAGAGAGAGAGAGAGAGAGAGAGAGAGAGAGAGAGAGAGAGCACGCGAGAGAGAGAGAGAGAGAGAGAGAGAGAGAGAGAGAGAGAGAACGGATCATTTCATGGGTAAAAAAGGCCATCTTTTGAGGGATGTGTTTGATGTGTCTTTGAAGAGCTGCTTGATTACTAAAACAAAAAACAACTGTTAGTGTGTTTATGCACCTGGCTGCCAAAGATAAACATGCAGTTTGGCCAAGGGTTTATTTCTCCTGAGCAGAGAAGGAGAAAGACCTGGAGCAAAGAGAAGGAACTAAAATGAAGAAGCATTTCAGTGCAGAAGAGACTTCAGAAGTAATCTAGTAGCCTTCTTCTGCCAGCGAGCTGCAGGACTCATCTGAAGAAGACACAAGGTTCGAGGGGGGTCTGACACTGAATGCTCTCTGGAGTCCAGCATTTCTTTGAGTTCCTCTGACCCTTCCTCTGAAAGTGGAGAGGACACTGAATGCCGTCCACAGTGAGGGGACCGAGAAGAACGGAGGTCGTTCTCCCAGGAGCTGGGGAAAACCAGGGTGTCCTCACAGTTGTGAGAAGAAAGCCCCCTGTGGTGATGGATGGTGGGCCGGAGCCTCAGTGTCCTCTCCAATTTCAGAGAAAGGGTCAGAGGAACCAACCCAGTCTCACATCTAAAGGTGNGAACAACTTCTAACATGCTCAAAACTACCAAACATTCAATAATTTTCAGGATTTTAATCCTTTAAATGCCTGTTTCATTATTTGAATTATTTAATTTCTCTTAAGAGAAATTAAATAATTCAAATAATGAAACAGGCATTTAAAGGATTAAAATCCTGAAAATTATTGAATGTTTGGTAGTTTTGAGCATGTTAGAAGTTGTTCAATTGAGTCATGAAAAAAAAAGTTAAAAGAAATATTGATGTATGATGATTTAATAGCAGTTTTTATGAGCGTGTACATTTTTGCCACGAAGGGGTCCAGAGGGTGCAAAATGCATCACGAGAGTACACAACACATGTAAGAGTAAACGACAATGGATTTCAAAAATTTGATTCAAAAGAAGACCTCTTGCAGAAATCCATGCCAAAAGCTGTAACACAGCTGAAATGATCACCAAATCAAAAAAAAAAGTCAGAAAAAATTTACAAGGAGGGCACAAGGGCTAAACAAGACAAGACACAAGAAGAACATACTTTTCCAAATAAAACAGGAAACAAAAATCAAGGTCATGACATTAGGATGCATTGCAGGATGTAGATACGTTGATGCAGGCCATAAGCAATGTTTTGGTGCAATTTGGATTCTCAAGCTCAATATCAACTGATCAACGCTAGTCCACTTTTACAGCTGAATTCTGGATATACCTTACCAACAAACTCTTTTCACAAGTTTGCCACACTAATCAATAACACTACTTTACCACTGCCGGCCAAATATCTCCAATAAGGAAATCCATGCTCTACTCTTTATCTAGCATGGTTACTCTAGTCTATGTCAAATCAAGCTGGTAATGTGCAACTTGGGTTTGGACGCAACTATATCATGTCAGGTGTATTGAACCAGGACCCATTGGAGCTTATGTAAAGTCATCTGTATAAATGGTTTCTTGAAAAAGCTGCAAGCAGAATACTACAGGCCAAGGCTCATTCATAATAGGCATGTTGAACGGGACTACCCTAATAATAACATTGTTATGTAAATAAAAGGGGACTATAATCTGAAACTCAAAGCAGTGTAATTTACAATATGTCTTCAATCGATCTTTCTGAAATAATGGAGCACTTTCCTGCAGTTCTCTTTTAATTCGAATTTTCACATCATTATAGTGGTTGCTATAGGAAATTATAACATGCATCAGAGGCTACGGCACCTCATCCCTCCTTTTAACATCCCCCATCAAATGCCGGATTTCTGCCAAGTTCATTTAGTGCCCCATTTAGCTCAGTGAGGCCCTACACATGGCTCTTTAATGAAGTTCATACACTTGGTATGTTTGAACCTCACATATGTTATTATCACTGCACCCCGCTGTGTGAAACGCCCCCCACACACACTTTTTATGATAAGACTGAAATGTAACTGGCTGCACCTAGATGAGCCATGGCATTTTATTAGCACGCTATGTTTTAGCCGGTTTTAAAAGCATGTTGTGTGGGGGTTTTAACATGTTATTATTATTGTTATAGTAAAACAACTCACACTGCAGCTGTATGGCTAAGGAAATAAGTGGACAGACACAGCTTATGTGAAATGGATAAAATGGCCAGAGAAAGTTAGGAGAAGTTAAAAACAGGGCAAGAGAATAATTCAGAGACTCAGAGAAAGAAAGAGATACTCAACTGGAAGTATTTTGTTTCAGAGAGAAAAGCATCTGTGGTTGTAAAAACGGTCATGACAGTAATCTTCGAGAGTACAAAGTGTTATCTGACGTTATCATCTCTGATCATTCTTTTAATAAAACTCTCCTTAGAAAGCACATGATTGCTGGGAGAGATTAAGATCACTATTTATTTGAATAGTGTAATGCTGATACTCTACGTACGATGAATCTAATATATTTTTTTGTAAAATGAAGTCTACAAAGCTAAGAATGTATTAAAAAAAGTATTGTTAATTTTGATTTATTTTTAACCTTTATTTAACCAGATAAAGAAACAATGCTGACCTTGCCAAGAAGTTAGCAACGTTACACACATAACAAAGACATATAAAATACAGAGAACACAACTAAGTAAACAAAAAAACAAAAATGGAAAGCAGTCATTACATAGTGCACATTTGGACAGTAAGAAAGGTACTAATAACGTATTACTGCAAAAGCAGTTGGTGGTAAGGACCTCAGACAACTTCAATTTAAAACAGGCTATATGTCACAGTCCAAACTGTGTCCCTGTTTGTTCCCCTGTGTGTGTGTGTGGAGAGGGTGTGGTGTCCCTTGCAGGCAGCAGCCTGATTACTCTCACCTGGCCGTCCGACTCAGCTGTCCCTCATCATCTAATCAGGACACAGCTTATCTACTCCAGTCTCCCAGCAACTCACCGCCAGATTGTTTTCTACACCAGTGTGCAATCCCTCGGCCATCATCCACCAGAGCTTCAAGCCAACCTGCCTGCTTCTTCCTGCATCCTACCTGCCTGCCTTGTAATCAGTCCAGCCTCTCACTGCCTACCTCCACTCCGGACCTCCATAATCACCCAACCTGCCTGCTTCTTCCTGCATCCTACCTGCCTGCCTTGTAATCAGTCCAGCCTCTTACTGCCTACCTCCACTCCGGACCTCTATAATCACCAAACCTGCCTGAGTCTCTGAAACAATAAACCATTTAAACATCTTCAGTCATTGCCTGCGCCTGGGTCCTGTTTAAAACATAATCCTAACAGACTATAGGGACAAGTGCCGTCAGTTTAAGGCGTGGTAGAAGGTTATTCCAAGACCAAGGACCATAATAAAAAAGACTCCTTTTTCCAGCCTCAGTCTGCACAGCAGGAACCTGGAACCGTATCCAG